CTGTTTATGTTCTTTCCTTTCCCTGAAATAATCTTCTCACTTCCCTTTTGTCCAGCACGCTTTCTTAGTTTAAAAGTTATTTCCCCTAATTTCCTGACCATTAAAACTGAGTTCAGTGTCCCTACTAACCCTCTCCATAGTACTCTGAATCCTACAATCACACATTCCATAGGTATAATTGACCTTAAGCACCTTGTAGAAAATAATTTTTGTTGCTTATTGAGACATCGTACCTAGCATAACTCTTGGCCCAGTGTAGAAGCTCTGTATGTACTTGTTAAATAGTTGATGAGCAGTTTCAGTGCCCCTAAATCAATCAGCTTTACGTTTTTTATATTCATTTCCTCAATTATAAAGTTTACAAATACATTTATGTGAATTATTTCAGTGAATCTATCTTATTCGTAAAAACCAAAATAGATTTGCAAAAAAAAAAAAAAAAAAGAATTTTGTGAGTAAATTATCTTCTGCTTGTGACTTGCAATAATGGGGAGAGAATTCAGACAGTATGATTTAGCAGAAATGTGCTTAGTAGGTGCCATGGTTTAAAGGCATGTGTCCCCCCAAATTCATTTGTTGGAAACTGAGACCCATTTTGACAGTATTCAGATATGAGGTCTTTAGGATGTGATTAAGTCATGAGGGCACCATTCTCACGAATTGGATCGGTGACGTTTTAAAAGGGCTCGGTTGGGTCTCTGTTGACCTTCTGCCTTCCACCATGTGAGAATGCAGCAACAAGGTGCCATCTTGGAAGCAGAGAGCAGCCCTCACTACACACCAGAATCTGTTGGTGACTTGATCTTGGACTTCTCAGCTTCATGAACTATAATTAACAAATTTTAGTCATTTATAATTACACTGTCCCTGTCTAAGGTGTTTTGATATAGAAGCCCGAGCGGACCGGGTAGTAGACTAAGATCTAATTAACTCTGTAAAGTCAATATAACTGAGAATTTCTCTAAGATATTTCCAGGTGTTTGCAGTCTATTGGCAATGCCCGATTAAAGCTGAAATTTTTCCTAGCAACTAACTCCTTTGCTGAAATAAATAGGTCAATGTTTGTTCCCTATCACTGCCAGACAGAATAACCTTAATGTGTTAATGATGGAAAACTCCCGGAATCCACAGGTAGAAACAAATTGTCCTTAGTAGGCAAGCAGATCAATTTTCCAAATCTAGTCAGAATTCAATGTGGGTAAATTTATAATCTGCATTTTGGCATAAATCTGATGTTTCCTACCGTATAAACATTAACAGTAGATTAACGTTAACTTGAATGCTTGGTGTGTGTGTCTGTGTGTCGGGAGTTGTTAAGTGCAGAGCTCTGTGACCAGCTGTACTTATTGCTTATCATTCTATGGCCCTCTCAGTTTGTAAATCATGACTTCGAACCCTGTATTGTCAGTTGTTTCATCTGGTTTCAGGGACCCAGATTATTGTTCCTCTCTCTCTCTTTTATTTTCTTGAGAAGCAGTTTCACTCTTGTCACCTAGGCTGGAGTGCAATGGCGTGATCTCGGCTCATTGCAACCTCTGCCTCCCAGGTTCAACCAATTCTCCTGCCTCATCCTCCCCAGTAGCTGGGATTACAGGCGCCCGCCACCATGCCATTTTGGCCAGGCTGGTCTTGAACTCCTGACCTCTGACCTCAGGTGATCCACCTGTTTTGGCCTCCCAAAGTGCTGGGTTACAGGAAAGAGCCACTGAGCCCAGCTACTGTCCCTCTCTTAAAATGGCTTGCCACATTTTGACACTATAAGGCTAAGAAAAAAAAAAAAAAAAAGAATTTTGTGAGTAAATTATCTTCTGCTTGTGACTTGCAATAATGGGGAGAGAATTCAGACAGTATGATTTAGCAGAAATGTGCTTAGTAGGTGCCATGGTTTAAAGGCATGTGTCCCCCCAAATTCATTTGTTGGAAACTGAGACCCATTTTGACAGTATTCAGATATGAGGTCTTTAGGATGTGATTAAGTCATGAGGGCACCATTCTCACGAATTGGATCGGTGACGTTTTAAAAGGGCTCGGTTGGGTC